TGAGTCAGTGAGGCAGCCCCGGAGCCTCCATGCCGCGTCATTGACGGCCCAGCCTGCACGGCATCATAGGGGCCCGGGGACCACCAAAATTTTCTCACGGACCACCGGTTGGCAACCGCTGTTCTAGATCACAGACAGAAGCTTTGACAATCTGCTGTAGAATTTGATGATGCAATTTTAAATTCATTATTGCCTACATTTTTTGTCTTGGCAGTAAGAAAGCCAAGTACTCTTGCACCTTTTTATAGTTCCTCCACCGTGTTTCATAGTTCCTCCACCGTTTTTCATAGATCACATGAAGTGTTGGTGTTGATATGCAATGTTTTTTGTTTTCTGTCGCTTAAACCAAACGGTAAGTAAATGTTATACATGCAAAGAAAAAAAGTACATACTTACCTCTCCCAGCACCTGCACCACCGAATGCGGTGTAATTAAATTGCAGTCTGCATACTCTTCAGATCGACACATCTAGGAGTGTCAATCTCCTGGTCCCCGACTGTGCTCAGTGGTTCCTTCCACCGGCCCCTATATCACTACTGTGGCCTGTAGTGACCTAGGGTCCACAGGTGGAACCACAGAGCGCAGCAGAGGACTAGATATATAACATTTTTGGAAGTGTTAGTTTCTGAATAGACTATTTCTATTCATTGGAGCAACATTCAGCAGCACAGGCAGCAGGAGAGGTAAGTTTTACTTCTTTGCAGGGACACAATTTATTGTTTAGTGACAATGACACTTAAGATTGATACTTTGTAAGTGACTGACTTATGTTATATATACCAACTTGTCATGCAACAAATGTGCTCTCTCTCTTCCCCCCCCCAGCCCCCCCCCACAATCCACCCACAAGCTTTAGAACTATAAGTCTTGCAAACACTTAGAAAAGTTGTCTTTTGCAAACTGGAGGAATGCTTGTTAGCCTTTGCAGGCACCTAGATAGCTTGCTTCTCAGATTCTTGGGCATGGGAAGTGGTTTCCAGGGGCTACAAGTTAGAGTTTCTCTTCCAGTTTCCTCCCCACACAAATCGGCAGATCAGTCATTGTTCCAGAATGGTTTTGGGGGTTCTACTCCAACCTGTCCACTGTTCTAAACCAAAAGTGGCCATCCACCCCATCTTGGATCTCAAGGCCCTACATTTTGTCATTTGTGACCAGAGATTTCACATGAAATCCACCAGGTCTGTTGCTTCTGGCCTCTGTGGATGTCAAGGATGCATTCTTGCATGTCCCCAGCACAGAATTGATTCCGGTTTTAAACTGGAGGGGGTTAATGGATGAATTAATTGAAGTTCCTATAAAATGATCACACCATTACCCCGTGACTACGCCCTGACGAAGCCACAGGAGCAGGGGCGAAACACGTCGACGTTTCCGTGGTGTGCGTGGACTACCCTGAACCACCGAGGATTATGCAGACATTATTTCAGCATGTCCTCTTAAACTGACTACAAACCATGAACTAACAACTCTTCTACCATTTGATGTTCCAACCAAGGGGATAACCGGTTAGTACCCACTGTGCAGCCCCCGAACTAGAGTGTTATACTTGAAAGGAAATCTTTCCGGGAAAAGAAACCCAAACTGGATAATTGGGATTACGTGCAGTGTCCATGAGCCGGCTCCTCGATAACCAATCTGGGAAGATCGTGAGTTATATACATAGTTGAAATTACAATCTCTATCTGAGCAATGTTGAATAGATCTTTTGATCCAAATACGTGAAACCGTCATAGTTATTCTTGCATGTGAGCAGATTTGACATCCTTGGTGGAATAAATCAACGATGGAAGACCAATCTGGATGAAATGTTGTATGGTACTACTGACTATATTCTATCCATGTACTGTATCTCGGCTAAACATCTATAAAAGGAATGAGAAATGACCCACTAGGTCCCCTTTAAACTCACATCTATAATCCATGACGGATAATAAATGTAAGCCGAGATATTGCTATCTGACGGAAAACCGAGATATGGTTATCTCTTGATGAACTGCGTTTTATAATATGAAGACAGGCAGTCTTCAACCCCATCTATCAGTTTTCTCTGCATAGATTGGCTTCAAATCAGCGAAGGGAACACTTCAATGGGAATTAAGCCTCCATGTAATTAAGGGGCAGCTTGTTTCATGGTGACACAGTATCAATGTTGGATGGTGAAGACAGGGTTAACCCACTAGGTATTAATGTGGTTGTACATGCAAGATAACGTTGTTTTTAAGAGTGTTTTGTTTTTTTCTGGAGTTGGTGCAATTTTTTGCATGCATAGTTTACTTACTTAATAAAGCTATATATTTTTTCTACTTATGGTCTGGATTAACTTCTTCCGGTCACTGCACAGAACGGTGCTTGCGACCATTTCTTGTTTTCTTACGTAAAATATTTATCTCCCTTTTTTTAATAAAAGTTAATTTTCTACTCCCTTTATTTGCTTCAGCATGGCATTGCATGCTATTGTTGAGCCTTCCATAGGTGGAAGGCAGAAATTTCTCCGTGGGATGTATCCTTGCCTTTTTGCAGGATATCTTCCATGTGTTTCACCCTGGTTGCTCCCCTGTGACTCCATGGGATCTAAATTTGGTTCTCTTGGTACTTCAAAAAGAAGCATTTGAACCTATCGGGTATATTCCCTTATCCACTCTCACCCACAAGGTGGTGTTTCATGTTGCCCTCACCTCTGTGAGGCAAATGTCACTGCTGGCTGCCTTATCCTGTAAAGAACCCTTTCTCATCTTGGACAAGGTGGTGTTGGTACCCAGGATGTCCTTCAAACATTAGGTTGTTTGAGCCTTCAGCCGCAACCAAGCCATCGTTTTTCCATCCCTTTTGTCTGGTTCCAGTTCATCAGCAGAAGCTTTCCCTCCAGTGTCTGGATGTGGCTTGGGATGTGAGATTCTCAGGCTCACAGCAACTGCTTCCTTCAGAAAGACTGACACTGTTCAATCCTGTGATAGAATTCCATCCTTGTCTGTCAAGACCCATTGTGCTAGATCTGTGAGTGCCTCTTGGGCTCTTCAGCATCAGGGTACGGTTTCCCAGATTTGTAAGGCTGTCACCTGGTCTTGTGTTAACACATTTAGTACATTTACCAGGTAGATGTGAAGCCCTCACCTGAGGCCAGCTTTGGACAAATAGTTCTGCATGCGGCTCTACGACCTGCAGGCAGTCTCCAGTTCTGTTTCGGTTGGCCTGATGTTTTGTTTGCCATATTGCACACCCCTCAGTAGGATTGCTTTTAGAAGTCCTAAGTGAAAAAGACAGTCTGTGTTCCTCAATAGATGAAAAATAAAGGTTTGGTTTTTTTTGTTTTTTTACTCGCCGTAAAAATCCTTTTCTTGTAGTCTAATGAAGCTCCCACCACTGTGTTTATGAGCATGCTTCTCGTACTGCTTAGCTACTCCTGCTGGGAGTAGGAGGGGTATCCTTGGCTGCCCTACATTTTTTTTTTTATTTATTTTTTTTTGCTTGCCAGCATCCAATCCTTCTGTAGACGGCAGTATAACCCGAGACTTAATGACTTGCGTTATCCCTCAATAGATTAAAGTATTTTATGGCAAGTACAAAAATCCAATTTTTCTTTCAGTTCTACTAGTGTATTTCCACTTTTGCAGTCAAATAATTAAAAATAAATGTTTCTTACCCTTTTTTAGATGCGTCTGTGCAGCAAGCTTTGAACAGTAGAACAGTAGAAAGGCATCATGGCACACTCACAAACTAGCATGTAAAACAACTTGTCTCACCACTAAGGACAATGACAGAGGTTTGGATACACGTCTTCTGCAAAGGATGTGTAAGCCGCACTGCCGCGCCAAGGCACCTCTTATAGTGCGGTCCTAACTCTAAACTATGAGAGTCTCCATCTTGGAGCACATGGGGCAGAAGATATCAAATTGGGTGCAGGCCTGTCAGGAGGACGCCCCACCTCCTTAAAGGTACAGAAACACAGAAGGGATCCCGCACATCCCATTGGCAGCTGAGAAACCCCATGCGTCGCTGCACCAGATCGGTAAAGCAAAACAAACGACAACCGCACTCAACAATTTGTTACCAGTTATACAGTAAGGTGCTACCTTACTGTATAACTGGTAACAAATTGTTGAGTGCGGTTGTCGTTTGTTTTGCTGTGCAGCAAGCTTCTCTCGGTTTTAAAGTCAGGAAATTTGTGCTGTCCCCATAGAAAGACTAGGGACACTGAGCTTCTTCACATTACAGTGCTTCTAGATCTTAAACCCTTAGGACAGACAGTTTTTAAATCTAGTTTATAACTGATAATGAGATGTGCCAGAACAGTACAGTTAATATCAACCTGCCCAGCCTCCTTACAGTGAGGAAAATTTAGCAGAGAAAAACTTTTCTTTCAGAACAGAGCATGTAATGTGCAAGCAACATTTTTTTTTTATTTTTTTTTTACATTTTGTTTTAAGTTATGCTATGTGAATGAGAACATGCTACAAATATAAAATGTGTGTTATCCCAATTCGGCTACAAAGTGTAAATGCACTTTAAGTCACATGATTGGTTGTGTTTTCTTGCTTTTAACAGATCTAACCACTTGTTGGCAATGGTCGTATATGCATATGATTTGCATCCATGATTTTAATTTGCTGCAAATAAGGCATTTGTCATCACCCCGGTTTTAAAGGAAAAGTGTCATAGGAGATTCATAAACTGCCTTTTGCTCTGACCTTGCCACTTTCTGAATCGCTGTTCCCATAACAAGTATGCAGATCAGGGGAACCAATGTTACTTTTTCATTGTCCCTTTTTGGAGGGATTCCCGTAATTTCCTGTCCAGGAGATACAATGGGAAATGCAGGTAAATATTTCCCTCTATCCTTGATCTGGTTGGTGGCAGCTGACAAATTTTGGATACCCTATTACTTTTTCTGCTGGAGCCTACAAAGGAAGAACATACAAAATCTAGAACATTAGTTATTATGTTGACTATTTAAATGTTAGATTCTTTTTAAATCATTCTAATGAGCAATAATTCTTAAAATAGGGCAATAGATGACAAGTATAGCAGGAGGGAAGAGTACAGAGGGTTTACACAAGAATTCAAGGAAAAGGACGGCTACAGACCAGATGTAAAGATTGAGTATGTGGATGAGACTGGAAGGAAACTTTGTCCAAAGGAGGTAAGCTCCATCCCTCCTTTCCTCTTGCTGCCTTCAAATGGACAATTTTTTATTTTTTTTTTACTTTGTTTACTTTTTTGACACAGGCTTTTAGACAACTTTCTCATCGGTTCCATGGCAAAGGCTCAGGAAAAATGAAGACAGAGAAGCGCATGAAGAAATTGGATGAGGAAGCAGTAAGTTGTTGTTTTTTTAGATACCGTAATTTAAAAAAAAAAACTGTAGAGGCATAATATGTTCTAAGCCCAGATTCTTGGTGCTTTAATATAGAACTATTTTTTCTTCTATATCTGGGTTTTTTTTCCCAATCCAGTGACAAACAAAAGCTCTTTCCACTAAATGAAGAAATATATGCATGTGTAGATGTTGACATGTTTGTCAAAATGTAAGGTTTTTCATTTTTCTTTCTTTTACCAGCTTCTAAAGAAAATGAGCTCCAGTGATACTCCTCTAGGTACAGTGGCACTTCTACAGGAAAAGCAGAAAGCTCAGAAGACCCCTTACATTGTCCTTAGTGGGAGTGGCAAGAGCATGACAGCGTGAGTAACAAAAATGATGACAATCTTGTTTATACCCAGAATGTGGTATGCTTGCTTGCTGCGGGCTGCCTGTTTGTATTTTTCCATTTCAAAGTTTTGACTACTTTTTGTAGATTAACCAGTTTGCTACAAAATGAAGAGTATGGCACACTACCAAAACTCAGTGACCTGGGTCAGGAAGACCTAAGAACACAATGCAGCCGCGCACCTTATTTTTGAGTGTTGAAGTGAAAGGAATTTTGAAAGGACTCCGCCTCAATGCACAAAATGTTTGTACTGCACTCTGTGACTTGGCCCTTAGTTAAAACCAGGAGCCCGACAATAACTCAGATGTAGCTGAACATTTTGGCCTTAGTGAAAAACAGTATATGTGGTGGAAAGACAATACTGCTCATTACCCTAAGAACATTATTTCCACATGGAGTGGTGGTAAAATCATGTTGTGGGGATGTTTTTTTTTTTTTAATCTGTAAGGACTGGGAACTGGTCAGGAATGAGGGTGTTGGCATACCACATGCAGGAAGCCTGCAAAAAGGTGTGACTAAATATATGAACTGCACAACAGAGCAGATACATGAATCGAAACACTCAGCTAAAGTTACACTGGTATTATTTAAACCAAAAAGCTAAATGTCTTATAAATGTGTGTCCACAGTTAGAGCTGTGAAAATGTGGCATAGACTAGTTCTAGCTAGCTTGGTTAACTATTTTTTTTTTGTATCTGGATGTATTCCTAAATGCACAGAATATTACTGGATATTGAGCTCTTAGAGGTATATTAAGCATCAGAGATTGTTGATCCAACCCCTGGATCAACATTGGGTAATTGGGGGCATAGTGTTCCGTTTAGGCTTTTCCCTTTTTTTTATAGGTTGAACTTGTCTTTTTTCAACCTGACTAACTATGTAAGACTTGCAGCTGTTGCAAGGAATCAAAGATGAATCCAAAACATGTCTGCCTTTTAGTTTATTTACACTTTGTTACAATAAAAAACAACAACTTTGCACCAAGTATAATGTATGTTCTGCAGTTCAAATGAAAATAATTGCAGGTACATCCATTTTAATTCCAGGTTGCAATACTACAAAATGGCCAAAAATAAGAGACTGCGTATACTAATGAAGTACTGAATATACTGTATGTTGCGTTAACCCCCTCTATTATAGGTGAATAAGAGTCAGACGATGGGGAATACAGATCTCCATCCGCTCTCTGATATATTATAGTACAAGCGTGTTTATTAATGCGCATAGGTCCTCCCACATTGCTATAGTAACAAACCAGCAAGTAACGGGATTCTAACTGCTGTTCAGCTCTTGATATATAAGGTTAGAGATAAAGTATGCCAGACATTGAGGTGTCCACAGAAGGTCTGTATGATCTGTCCTTCACCTGGAAGAAGGGGTCCAAAGATGTCTCCAGCATAATAGCAGGGGAGGCACACACACCCCTCCTGAAACAAATTCTTACGATCAGTTCAAAATTCCCGCCACAGGATCTTCAATCATCTCTACTGAGGGTTGGGTTGTTATCTAAACTGCAATCAGCGGATTCATCTCTGCTCTGCTGAGCTCACTGTGCTGACCCCTCCTAATGAACAAGCACATACTCGGCTCTGAGGAGAGAGCAGAGAGGAGTCATCACATCTCCTCCATAGCTGTGTGTGTGTCTCCTGCACTTGTGTACTGTAGACCTTCTTCTCTCTGTGTCCTGTGTCTGTCTCTCAGATCTCTCCGGGGTCAGATTTACTCTCTGCTGCCCCAAGTCCAGGTTCCTCAATGTGCCCCCTCCTCCCCCCCCATTCTTGTCATTTATAGATGACTGTTAGAACAAATAAATTAAAAACACAATGGGGGAATTTATCAACACTGGAGCAGACAGAATCTGGAGCAGTTGCTCAGGGCAATCAATCAGCTTCTCTCTTCAGTTTGCTCAGGTAAGATTTGAAAATGAGAGAGAGATGCTGATTGGCTGCAGTGCAAATCTGCTCTAGATTTTGTCTGCTCCAGTTGTGATAGATCCCTCCCACTGTGCGGGGGATGCGTGGTGTCAGGGGATTGCAGGGTCACCAGGGATGTGTGGGGTCATCGGGAGATGTGCACAGCATGTCACCAGGGATGTGTGCGGTGTATCAGTGCATCCCCAATTGAAGATTTTTGTCTGGGGCACTGATGTGGATTGCAGTTTCCATCTTCTATTTGGATTGCTTTTGTATATGTAACATTTACCGGTTTGTGTGGCACATGTGATTGTGTGTAATAAGTACACTGGGGTTGACTTGGAATGATTTAGTTGAACATCGGGGGGTATATTGGTTTCACAGCGCTGTGTAAATCACATGATATACATATTGTCCGAGGACAGTGCAGAGTGACCGGGAGATGTGACTACAGTTGGAAGAAGAAATTCGTTATGTTGTCTCCAGTAATCGCTCAACAAAATATAACCGATTTCTTCTTCCAACTGTAGTCACATCTCCCGGTCACTCTGCACTGCCCAGGGGGAGGTACCAATATGAATATTAATGATGCTCATGCACGAGAGAAACAAAGCATTGTGGGAAAAGGAGTTTTTCCACTCCCTACAATGTACACAAGTCTGGCAGCCATATAAAAAAAAAATATATATGTGGAGCCTGAGAGGACAACTAAAAAAAAAAAAATGTAGTGTTTGTGATTTTTATCCAGGATCTGCATATGCCGCCATCATCTCACACCGTGTACATTGCTGCCATATGTTTTTTAAAAATGCCCCCGCAAAGGTGGAAATGTCCTTTTAAAAAAAATTGGCTCACAGTTTAAATGCCATACATGTAGGCTGAGCACTGCATTGCCTCAGCCCGGATGAAAAGCTACCTGTGTTGCGTGCTTGGTCTTGTCCTGCCTAGTATTTAGGACACGCAGTATGTTCAGTGAGGCCCTGGCACACACAGGAGCATGCGCTCTCCCTGTTTCAAGACCTGCACATGCTCTCCCTCCCCCTATCCAAGCAGTGGCTAAGCTCATAGTACTGCATAGAACATTTTTGCTAGAGGTGAACACACGTTTTACATTCGGGCAGTATAACTGAATTTGTCTTTAAATGAGCCTCAGACGGGTTAAGCAGCACAAAGAGTCAGGTGTACTGCAGCGCAAGGAGCATGCTTATGTGAGACCGAAAGTCAACTAGCTCATCAATGTGCTGTTTCTCCTTTCACTGTCCAGTCATAGGGTGGGGGTGAAATTGCAGAAGAGAAAAACCTGCCAGGCTTTGAGTCAGCTGTGTAAATCTCAGAACTGGATTGACAAATTCAAATCCTATTCAGATTATGTGTATTTACCGGTTTTTACTGTCATTCAGCAAATAAGTAAAACTCACTATGGAATTATGTGCTTAAGTGGAAACATCTTTGTGGTAATTATTTTCATTTATATTAATTTTAGGAACACGCTTATCAAATGAGTGTTGATGATATTTCCAGAATCTGTAGAAGAGATTTGGCTGGACACAAAATCATTCATCTTTTGTGCGATTTTTTTTTTTCACCACTTCCTATTCATGCAAAACCCTTTAATTTGGACAGAAGACTGGACAGAAGACTGCCAGAATCTAAGAGTGGATGTCATAAAGGACGACTGGGACTGCTGTATGCCGTTTTGCACCATCTGTTATTAAAGCAATGAGACTAGTTTTATTTTTTTTAAGTATTTGAAGTGATAGAAGGGTATGCTGGGATCCAGAAATGCTCCAAATTCTCTCATTACAAACACCAGGTAACCATTGGATCTTTAAATAAACTGTACAAACTGTACTAGTCGTAGTTTTTTTTTAATTAATTTAAATGCCTCTACTCCTTCATCCATGATGTGATTGTTCATATAGTGTGTTTTTGTTTGCAATGTGACATCAAACGTATAGCTTACTGCTACAAAACTTGTTTTTTGGAGGAAACAATGTCATTTTTCTTTCATTATCAATATTGATACTTGTATCGGTGCATCCCTAATTTTAGAGTATTTGGGCAAGTACTCTGCTAAATGCTCTGGTACTTGTCTACGAAACTGGAGCGTCCAGTCAGAGGGAGATCTCCCCCTGAATGCAAGTGCCAAGGGAGCATGGAGCTGGCTTCCTTTCCAATCAGGAAGCTGGGGGGTGGGTTATGACCCGGCTTCGTGATTGGTTAGGAAGCCAGGCTGCCTAGGAACAAGTGAAGCTGGTTTCCTAGTCAATCAGGAAGCTGGGAGGCGGGTCATGATGTGCTGCCCTGCTTCCTGATTGGTCAGGCAGCCTTTGGAAAGTGAAGCTGGTGTTCTTTCGCTAGAAAACCAGCTTCACAGGCAATCGGGACTTCCTGAAAAACCGTTGGCCAGCACAGGATATCTCCGTCCACTCACATCGTGACTCTATTTTTTTTTTGCTAGTGTCCTTAGGACAGCGGCCATGTTTTAGTCTGCTCTGCTGTTCTCTTTTTGGAAAATGTTCTATTCTCTACCGCTGGTAAATAAGTTAAATCCTGAAGGTTTCACCAGTCAGACAATGAGCACAGCTTGTCCAAGTTTTATTCTGATGTTCTCTCTGCGACAACTCTGACCTTCTGGAAGTTTAATCAGTCATCTGCAGCTACTTGTAGTTTCAGGCTGGGTATGAAACCATGAACAACTCTCCAGGTAACCAATCAGCGCAGGTTCCCAGTTCATCATTTATAATGTTCCATCTGCGAAACGCCTACAGTTCATACGGACTCTGCTCGTCAGATCATGCCAGTATGTCTCGGGGTTTTCTTTATAGAGTTATTGATCCAAAGCTGAGGCATTTTCCTGTCCCCTAGAAGGCTAAAGATGGGTTAAGAGAACTATGGCCCAAACTTTTTTTTTTTTTTTGCTAGTTCTCTTTAGGGTCACAAGGGGACATATACTAATGTCCTCCTGTGACCAAAAGCTCAGTGTATAGAGGGCTATTGACCGCCGTATGCTGACAGCGCAGAGCCATGGTGCAGCCAGGATGGATCCCGACAATATTGTCAGGATCCACCCAGCTGCCTAATTGGCAGCAGGCTGTGTCTGCCCCCTCCCCTATCCATCCCTCCAGTCGGGGCTAGAGGAACAGAAGGGAGGGGGGAATACCTGCGGGGAGCGGTGACTGACAATCATCTCCCTGCAGAGAGCGGTGACAAAGAAGCTGAGAATGTTATCGCTTAGTTCCCGATCAATAGAGCCGACGTGACAGCTTCAGTTCCCTGAGCCTTCATAGTGTATGCCTTGGTGACTCCATCTAATCAGTTCAGCCTGATCTACACCTTCCCTCCTCTGAATCTCTTGCCTCATCTCCTCTGCTGTATCAATATGGAGGGATTTCCGGTGATCCTCATTGCTCTCCACTGGCCAAGGAGGCCCTCGTATGCCCTGTATGTAGTTAAGCTCCTGGCAGACTGTCCATGGGAACTCTCTGGATCATCCAGGGCTACTGTCACAAGGTCCAGTATTCCACCCTGCTCCCCAGGTATTGGCTTTAATGCCATGGCTGTTGAAGTACAGAGGCCTTTTTCGATGCAGTCATCCCTATGCTCCTTAATATTCTGTCCCTCAAGGTCTACCATTGTACCTTAAGAGAACTATGGGGGGAAAACACTTACCCCATAGTTCTCTTTTAAGGGTCACAGGAGGACATATACTAGCATCCTCCCGTGACCCAAAGCTCAGTATATCGCGAGCTACGGCTCACGGTATCCCGAGACCGCCGCAGCCAGGACGGATCCCGACATTACTGTCGATCCGCCCAGCTGCGTGAGTGACAGCAGGCTCTGCCTATCTAGAGGCAGAGCCAGCTGTACCTACCCCCTCACGCTGGAGCATTGGGGAGGGAGTGGGGGGGAAATCCCTGCAGGGAGCTGTGACTTTCTAATTATCTGCTCCCTGTTAGCGGTTTTTGGTCCTTGGGTCTTTTAGTTGTCTTTTGCCCTGTTGCCCACCCCTCTGATGGACTGCTTTTGAACATCCCAGGGGTTAAAGAATTTAATGCCCTGTGATGTAATGATTTTACAGGTAATACTTCCACCTCCTTCACTAGCTGCACTTGGTGATGCAAATTTAAGTAGGCGTGAGCACATGATATTGCACACATGCTCCTACTGTTTCATAGTTCCCTCCTGCAGCTTACAGTTATTTCTTTTTGGCATTGTTAATCCCTCCAGTTGCTCCTGCTTTAAGTATTGCTGATCAGACACAGCCAGAGGCATGGGCCCTGCTTGGAAGAACAAAACCCAGATATGAGGCTTTTAGGCTTCCTGATCAGCTGCCAGTCAATACCATTTATACCCGACTTGACTCAACATGGCAGGAAGTTAGCAGGAACATCAGGTCGCAGTCAGGGATGCGCAAGAGCACGTGCATGCATATATCCTCAGCCACCTATTCAAACAGCTGCCCTCCCACAGCCCACCTTGCTTTCAAGTTTGGGTGGCTTTGTCAGTGATACGGTTCTGATTCCGAAGTCTCATCGCAGCAAGACAGTTATTCAGGACTTTGTAGGATCAATACACCCTGATCTATGATTTTCCTTCCCTGAGGGTTTGTTCACACCAGATGCAGTGCATTCCGGCCCGATTCTGGAGAGAACACATTTCATTGCGGCCAGCTCACTTTGTTTGTGTGGGCAGGAGGGGGCGTGGTGGACCATTGAAGTGAATGGCACCGTAGCTACACGGTGCGATCAAAATAGTGCTTGCAGCATTTTGATTGCACCGGACTGCAGGCACAATGTGCCTTGCGATCCCGTCCATGCGTGGCTATGGTGCCATTCACTTCAATGGCCCACCAGCCCCCTCCTGCCCCACAAAGAAGTGAGCCGGCCGCAATGCAATCCAGCCAGAATCAGGCCGGGACACACTGCATCTGGTGTGAACGAACCCTGACACAGGATTAAAGATGGAGGGTGTTCCTCTGCTGCTCATTGCTATGGACTGGCAGTCGCTCTGTCTGTTCATCAGGATTCTGTATACAGGACTGTTTTGCCATCCTACTTTGTGGTCTTTGACTTCATGGCATGGCTGTTGAAGCCCTGCCTATTTTCTTTAGTCGGGGGGTATCTCTGAAATTGTATTTCCCACTACAGCTCAGAAGCCAACTTCCCACAAAAGGAGCATCATTGGAGATGGGAGGCTTGCTTTCAGGGCTTCCACCATACAAGTTTCTCAGTAGGTCAAATCCTCCCCCTTCTGCAGCTGGGTCTGGTCGGTGTTTGACTCGGCACTTTCAAGACCCAGGTTTCTTCCCCAGCTATCTTGTTTTGTAAGACCATTGGGTTTGATTTAAACCTTTGTACTCCATGTAGCTCCCTGTGTTGATTACTGTGTGCAAGCTGTATCTGGTACTCTGATTCAAAGATCACTGAATTCATTCGAGACATTCCTCTTTTACTCTCACCCACAAAGTGATGACCCTTATACCCATCACCTGTACAAGACGAGTGTCTGAACTGGTAGCCAGCTAAAATGAGTAGTTTACATTTAGTTATGGGAACATGACTGCCGAAAGACTGTTCGGTTTATCCATTGTTTTGATAAACATACCTCTGCCACGCTGCATAGTCAGTTTATTTTACCAATGTAGCTAACCTCAATATGCGCAACAAAAGCTTGCTTGCCGTGCTTGCGGTGTAACCATAGAAAAAGAGGACTAACATACGCTTGAGAAAAATCAAACAGGCAGATTTAATGTTGCATTTATTCATTATAACAGAAACCCTGATTTTTGATTAGCCCTACGAGTACCTAGAAGTACTACAGGTTCTTGTAGCCATGGTATACGATAGTAAGTCCAGAAGAACTGTACTTCAGTAAGATTATATAGGTGCACACTGCTTTCCTTCAAGTGTCCTTTCATTTTCCCAGGGGATATCATACACTGTGAAAATGCACTTAACTTTCTGTAAACAATAGAAAATAAAATTAATAAATAATCCAAAATATGTGTAATACATTCATTAACAAAGTGCTGCAGTTCATTCTGCATATTGTTTGTCTATGACAATTGTAAATAACAGCATTTCCTTCTCAAACAAAATTGAAGAAAACCTGTTCTGTGTTTTATATACGTAATCATTTGCATTGCAAGTCCTTTCTTAGTGTAAGCCCCCCTGTGCTACGAATACTTAGGTGCTCTGACATGCATCAGGAGCCTAACCCCACACCTTTCAATCTCCTAAACCAGAGCCAGTAAGATTGTTCATCACTGTAAATGGCAACATACAATGAGCAAATGGTGAGGTTGCACAATAGGGTAGGGTTAGGCTCTGAACCAAAATGACCCAGAAAGTACTTTTAAGTGCATCTTTTTAATTACAATAATGCAAAGCACCAGTACTGGAAATCTCTATGCAGCAGGTGAATTGCAGGTACAGGAGAGATGTTAGCGCAACCGTTCTAGCCAAAAACATCACACCAAAGATGTAGGTGTAATTTACAGATTATACTTTCCTTCTAAAATGCTGCTGTATAACATATCATACATTATAAATGCCTCTCAATGAGAAGAAGTAATCAAACCATTAGGATAGCACTGTTACATGATGAAGACAAACTGCTACATGTTGGAGCTTAACTGAGAAAACTAATCTCCATTCACATTAAAACTGAGTGTCCCTAGAGAAACGGTCACTTCTGGTTACTTAGAGAACTATGAGGTGAGTGCTTTTCAATCACCTCATAGTTCTAGATGACCTGTGACAAAGACTGTGACAGGTCGGCTCAGTAGATCGGGAAGTGAGCGAACACATACTGGCGTTCGCTCACTTCTCGATCCTGTCACTGCTCTCTGCCGTGACGGAGGGACTGGATTCCCCCCTCCCCCCTCCGATCCTCCAGCGCTCACTGGCGGAACGGACGGGGGAGGGTACAGCTGGCTCTGCTTCTAGATAGGCAGAGCCAGCTGTCACTCACGCAGCTGGGCGGATCCAGGCATAATTGTCGGGATCCGGTTCAGCTGCGGTGTCTCAGTATACTGCGAGCTATAGCAAAAGGAGGCTTGTTTTGCTCGGGAGCTGCCTTACCAAAGCCAGTGAGCTTCTTTACAAACGCTCCTGTATCTGGGTGATTTGAGTGAGCACAGAAACCCCACCACACAAATGTGTTACTTAGGAGACCTAGAGGCTCACATGTTTACCTCCTTCTAAAACTGCAAGCCTAAATTTGTTTGCATGCAAACACATTATACTAGGGCCTTCGCGAAAGTAAACCCTTCAACTCTTCTTTGCTATGTCAGAATGCTGGGTCATTTTGAAAGGGCACAGCTCCAGAACTTACTGAAACTGGCCTGAGATTTCTCACCACCTGCCACCTCATACGCATTACCCACCACTTGCTGCCTGATGCACATTCAAAAAAAACGTGTGAACAAGGCCTGACACTGACCAAAGCTGCAGAATGAGTATTAGATTTACAGTCATTAGTCACATGTCAAGAAAACGTAATGAGAAAGCACCCTACCTTAAGCTTTGAGCCTGTTAGCAGTGGACAAGGTTTATTCATGTAGTTTTTCCCCTTTTTGCATGCTGTATTTCCCAATAATATGGTCAGTTCATAGTTCATCCCAGCAACCACCTAAATAAGTATAATAACATAAAATGAGAATTCGGTATTACAAGAGGCTTTCCATATACAAAAACACAACCTGTCCCAAAGGACTGCAAAACATGAAAATTCATGCTTAAACAATATACTAGCATGGAGCATCCAAACAAATCCCTTTCATCTAAGGCTACTTTCACACTAGGTGCAATTCGATGCATTTATATGGATTACTAAGTGCAAATATATGAATCTCTGATGATTTCCAATGGATCTATTCACACCTCACGTTTCCATGCTTTTGTCTGCAGTCAGTTTAGTTGCGTTTAGAAAAAATAAAAAGACAACTGTGTCCAGGAATTGAATTTCTAAATGCATGTAAACTCAAGATGTGTTTATTTGCTGAAATCTCATTGGCTACTAAAATGGACTGTTTCAATGGACAAAGGGCAGATGCATCTAAATGGATGTGTGTAAACGCACATCATTTTAAGCATCTAGACGCATAGACAAAGGATCTAACCTGACTGATTTTGCAGAAAGATCCCTGCATCAAACTGCAAGTGTGAATGAAGCCTTAATCTCAAGGATGTACCTCTTATGCCCTACACCCATATTTAGGGTGAAGCAGCCCCCACAACCTAAAATGCCCACTCACCTGAATTGTGAGGTTTTTCCTGCTGGCTTTGGCTTATATTTGAATTCAGCCTGGTTATGCACAGTGCTGCACATACAGTCATGTCATTAATTCACAGTCTCTGCCACTGAGGTACTCGTAGATCTCAATGGAGTACAAGTGTAGTGACATCTCGCACTTGTAGCCCATTGATTGCTTTCTCCAGCCTCTTTGGTTACAGAGTAAGTGCCTGCAGAAGGCAGAGCATCACACTTGCAATCCACTGATCACGGCTGCAATGCTTTACTAGCTCCAATGCAAAATATCACATTTTTAATTTTATTTAGGTGTGTGATTTTGCCTTTAGGTTGAACATTTAGCAACATATCCAGGGCTTGTCCTCAGTTTCCTCATCAGTGAGGGACAGCTGACAACTTTGCTGATACCTGCTATATCTGACAAGTATTGAGAGAACACAGATACATATCACCCCAGTATATGTGACAAGTATTAATAGAGAATACAGGTATACAGTACTGTGCAAAAGTTCTAGGCAGGTGTGAAAAAAAGCTGTAAAGTAAGAATGCTTTCAAAATATATATTTGTATTGCTTATGATCAATTTACAAGATGCAAAATGGGTGAACAGAAGAAAAAAAACTAAACCAAATGAATGTTTGTTGTGACTACGCTTCAAACCAGCAGCAATTCTTCCACTTGCACAGTCATTGATTTTGTAGGATAAAGGTGCCCATACACCTTACGACCATCGCAAGACTTTTGTCTTGCGATGGTCGTATGCTTATTGAAAGCTCGTACGATCTGCCCACCTTGGACGGGCAGATCGTACTTGCGATCATCGAAAGCCCGCCCCGCTGAGGGGCGGGCTTCCGATGACCGCAATGCAGAACGGGCACACGTCTTCGTTCACACTGCTCGATTCTCGTACGATCGTGGGATTTCGCCCGATTCTTGTACGAGAATCAAGCAGTGTATGGGCACCTTTAGAGTCAGGTGTTTGATTAAACAACCCAGCAGGTCCTAATAATCATCAATTTATTTATGTAGGTTAAAACAGTCATTAACTGAAACAGAAGCAGCCGTGTAGGAGGCTATAAAATAGGTGAGGAACAGCCAAACTCTGCTACTAAGGTGAGGTTGTGGAAGACTGTTTAATGTCCCAGGACATACACCATGACAAGACTAAGCACAGCGACAAGACACAAGGTAGTTATACTGCATCAGCAATGTCTCCCCCAGGCAAAGATTTCAAAGCAGACTGGAGTTTCAAGATGTGCTATTCAAGCTCTTTTGAAGAAGCCCAAAGAAACTGGCAATATTGAGGCCCGTAGACGCAGTGGTTGGCCATGCTTACTCATGCTTACCTACCTTCGACATTGGAAGATGTCCAGCAGTGCAATCAGTACCGAACTGGTGGAAACCAGTGAGACCCAGACATCTACTGTCTGGAGAAGTCTGACCAGAAGTGGTCTTCATGGAAGAATTGCGGCCAAAAACACCATAGCTCCAACGTTGAAACAAGGCTAAGCGACCTAACTATGCACAAAAATATAGGAACTGGGGTGCAGAAAAATGGCAGCAGGTGCTCTGGGATGATGAGTTAAAATGTGAATTATTTGGCTGTAGCATGAGGCAGTTGGCTCGCTGAAGGGCTGGAGAGTGGTACAATAATGAGTGTCTGCAGCAACAGTGAAGCATGGTGGAGGTTCCTTGCAAATCTGGGGCTGTATTTCTACAAATTGAGTTGGAGATTTGGTCAGGATCAATGGTGCCCTCAATGCTGAGAAATACAAGCAGATACTTATCCATCATGCCATACCACCAGGGAGGTGTGTGATTGGCCCCAAATTTATTCTGCAGCAGGACAATGACCCCAAAACATACAGCCAATATCATTAAGAACTATCTTAAGGATAAAAAAAAAAAAAAAATGAACAAGGAGTCCTGGAAGTGATGGTTTGGCCCCCACAGAGTTCTGATCTCAAGATCATCAAGCCTGTCTGGGATTACATGAAGAGACAGAAGGATATGAGGCAGTCTACATCCAGAGAAGATCTGTGGTCAGTTCTTCAAAATGTTTGGAACAACCTACCTGCCGAGCTCCTACAAGAAGTACTGATGATTTAAAGACAAAAGGTGGTCACTCCAAATATTAATTTGAATTGAGAAGTATTGAGAGAACACAGATACATATCACCCCATGTAATAATATCACCCCACTATATGTAACGGGTATTGAGAGAACACTCTCCTTCCTGACAGCTGTCACAGGAGGCTGAGTGAGCGTTGCGCGCGCTGTCTCCGCCCACACAGTGCTCTGCCGGACTGTGATAGGAGGCTGAGCGGTGTGGGAAGAGAGACGCCGGCCGCTCACATCGCTGTCCTCTGGCAGCACTCGGCCGGCTGTCACACTTTCTCTCCTCCCTGCTGGGGCACAGAGAAGCGCCCAGCGGGGAGGAGAGAAAGCAGGGATGCACCGCTGTATCGGCAGAAAAATGGCATTTAGCCAAAAGTGCCATTTTTCGGCCGATACATCGGTGCATCTCTAGTAATAATATCACCCCAGTATATGTGAGAAGTATTGAGAGAACACAGATACACATCACCCCATGTAATAATATCACCCCAATATATGTAACGGGTATTGAGAGAACACAGATACATGTAACCCTAGGGCTACAACTAACGATTATTTTCATAATCGATTAGTTGGCTGATTATTTTTTCCATTAAATTGGATAGAAGAAAAAAAAATATTTATGCAAAATAAAATGCACAAGTGCAGGTTTATAAACAGAGTATCCTTCAGAATAAAACGATATGCACCATTTTGAATTTGCACTCCACTGGAACGCAGGGCAATGCAGTACTGCACGAACCAGCGGGCAATCACACTGCGGGCGGGAGGTGCATTTGGGATGCCATTGAAATGAAACGCACAGCAACTCCTGCAGAAAAATTTGTCGGGCCGAAATATAAAATTACTTTTCCCACCTTTTTGATGCATATTTTTTCAATAATTGTATTATATCTTACTTAGTTTCATGGATTTAAAATAATGTGAATTGTAAAACTCTAACTCAATATAATAAAATAACTAACCTTTAATTTAAAAGGAACACACCAAAATTGTAGAGAAAATACAAATCTATATGCTCAGTCATCAGTTTAGCGTTAGCGATGAATATTGGCCCATTAATCATTACATATGTAGCGCAATCGTCGTTTCGTTTGTAGGTGCACCCGACTTGTGTTTCGGTTAGTATGTGCGTGTTCCTGGGGTTGGGGGACTTTACATTTTTGGGGGGTATTTTTCATTTCATTTTATTTAACGTAATTTTTTTTTTTTACTGAACTTCATTGCTATCCGTGGTGGGACTCCCAAGCCCCCTATGTGATAGCACATTGGAGGCGACAGGTTCTCTGTAAGGTTCAATGAGACCCCTATTGTCACCTTTCCACTTCATTAGCTTTAGCTAGGGAAAGGCAGCTGAATGTAATTCCAGCATACAGTGGGCGGGTGCAATAGCCAGCCCGCTATTGGCTATTTCAATTTGAAATAGCCAATAGCAGGCTGGCTATTGTTTCCAGCCGCTGATGAGACTTGACGCCGGCTTTATACCGCTGGCAGAAGAGGGGGCACAGGAGAGGAGCAGAGAAGGAACAGAACAGCAGTGCAGGAATGGGATCGACAGGGGAGCCATGGGGGGTTAAGAGGAAGAACGGGGGGGCGGGGGGGGGGGGTTAAGAGGAGGAACGGGGCAGCAGCAGAGGCACGGGGGACAGAGGAGGAACAGAGCAGCAGTGGAGGTACAGGGGGCTGGTGCCAGCTGCAGTGGTCTGTGTCCCCGCTGCCTTTGCCGACACAGGCGGGGAGAGCAGCGGGGATTGAAAAGGGACAGACTGCTGCAGCTGGCACCAGCGACGAGGACAACGGAGAAGCAGAGTGGCAGTGGGGGATTCAACTAATCGAAAATCAACTAATCAATAATGAGATTCGTTGACAACGATTCTCATTATCGGTTATAATTGATTTTTATCGATTAGTTGTTTCAGCCCTTTATCACCCTGTGTATTACTATCAGGGGCTGACCTACCGCCGGTGCAGCCGCCCCTGGAGCCTGAGCCTAAAGGGGAGCCCAGTATCCAGTGTAACACAGCCCTAGGGCAGAGATGGGGGTGCCCGGTGGTGTTCGGCCGCCGGATAGCATCGGATCGGTATGCGGCGGGCCTCCCCCATCTCTGCGCCGGGAGTGTCCGATGATCACATTGGATCCGGCAGCCCCCCTCATCTCTGCGCCGGAAGTGTCCGATGATCACATTGGTATCCGGCAGCCCCCTTCATCTCTGCATCGGGAGTGTCCGACACTCCCAGCACAGAGAGGAGGGGGGCCGCCGGATACTGAGGAGGGAGCAGAGAATAAAAAAGCCGGCAGGCACTTCAGGAGGCAGCCCTGGGCCTCAGCCAGTGGCGGAACTACCGCCAGTGCGGGCGCACCAGGGCCTCAGCCTCAGGGGGGCCCAGCACACCCCTCGCCTGTGCAGATGGTATCCAGCGGCCGGCAGGCGCCCCGTCTCTGCGCCGGGAGTGTCGGATCATCCGTTCATCTGACACTCGCGGCGCAGAGATGGGGATAATGATCCATTTCAGAGAACTCCGAGTCCGATGTGGTGAACTGGGGGGGTGGGGGGCTAGGCGTTAGGGTACCCAGATATTATGGGCCCGCCGACCCCTGCAAGAAGTGAGCCGCGAGCAAAGGACAGCAGTGAGTGACACATGAAAAATTGAAGACAGGGCAGGCAGATCGGAGTGGACGGCTGTGAGGACTGAGGACACACTGCACAGCAAGCAGGAAACAGACACCTGTTTTTTCTGAATCCCCCACCGGGAAACAGCAGAAGAGAGGTAAGTGTAAATAAATAATTAAAACAATTATTATTTGTAGCTGGTTTTTGTAGTGCCATTCTGTTACATAGGTACATAGTATTTGAGGTTGAATAAAGACATTAGTCCATCAAGTCCAACCTATAGGATCTCATTCTTAGTAGTACCTAATGATTAAATTATCTCCGTTTAATTTAAGTAATTTTATTTTTATACCCTCCCCCCCACTTTCTAGTTTAAAAGCTCCTCCAGTCTTTCTACCATTTTTCCCCCCAGGAATGCTGCACCTCCCCCATTAAGGTGCAGCCCGTCTCTGCTGAAGAGCCGATAGCCGACTGCGAAGTCAGCCCAGTTCTCCAGGAAACTAAAACCTTCCTTCTGACACCAGCTCCGGAGCAGCAATGCAGAATGGGACCCTCTATAGAGGACTAGAAATTTCAGCAGTACTTTATACAGAAATGCTATAGTTGTATAAAGTATTGCTGGGATGAGTAGTCCTCTATAGCCTGTGCCATTCTGCATTGCTGCAAATATTAGGGACGCACCGATATATCGGCCGCCGAAACATAAGCCGAAAATGGCACTTTTGACTAAATGCCTTAAGTGCCATTTTTTGGCCGATACAGCAGTGCATCCCTGCTTTCTTTCCTCTCTGCTGGGCGCTGCTCTATGTCCCAGCGGGGAGGAGAGAAAGTGTCACAGACGGCCGTGCGCTGTGAGCAGCCAACGTCTCTCACCCCACACCGCTCAGCCCCTATCACAGTCCGGTGTTCTATCGCAGATTGTTAGAATGTGTGACCGCTGACGTCATCACACTTTCTAATGTAATCACGCCCATTTTTTCGGCGGTAGAATGTGTGACCAGGAAACAGGGACACCGGCACTCCAATGTTAGTTCAAATATGAAGTCTTTTTATTATAGAAAAAAACGACGCCACAAAGTTGCGACGACCCCGAAATGGTCGTCACAACTTTGTGACATGTCGTTTTTTCTACAATAAAAATACTTTATATTTGAACTAACATTGGAGTGCCGGTGTCCCTGTTTCCTGCTGTTACATGACGGTTGCCGTCCATCGACCACCGCAGCATTCAGATTCTTTCATTGGAGACAAGCGGTCAGGAGTGCGATGGGTTCATGGATCTAGAATGTGTGACCAGTCACATGTTCACACATTCTAACGTAGCCACACCCATTTTTTCCCGGGTTAACAATGTGTGACCGGCAAAACGTGTAGAATTCAAAGCTTTCTCCACTGTTCCTGGGCAGATCGGCATCGCAGA